GGCATACTGGATCCTCCCTGTTCTGCCCCGAGAACCCACAGGGGTTATTGTTATCCCCATGAAAGTTGGACGTGACAGGAAGCCTTCACACCAGCCCTGAAGGGAGGAGGGACAGGACGGTCAGCCTCTGGGTCACAGCACCTGGAGGGCAGAGCTAGGGCTGGTACCTAGGTCTTCATGGCCTCTAGGCCCCACCCCCACAGCAAGCTGCGGCATATCCCTCTCCTTAACCGCGAGGACTCCAAGGCCATAATCAATGTTCCCGTTCAGAAAGAGTAGACCGGTGGTGAGATGGAGTGTGTTGGGGAATTTGGACTTGGGTAAATTGCCCCACCTAACAGTCCAGGCTCACAGCAGGAGGTCAGGGAGCCAGGCCAGAAATGGGGTTCCTGGTGGAAAGGGTGGATCCTGCCAATCTATAAGGACAAAGGTCTACCCCTCCCCTGCCCCAAGGGCTGGCTGAAGGGAGACTGAGGCCAGAGGGGAGGCTGAGGGAGGGAGGAGGCCTCCGCTCACTCTACCTGCCCCAGGCTGAGCTTGGTGAGCCTGCCCACAACCCAGTGAGCAGGCCCCTCCCAGGGAAGCACACCTCCAGCCCCTCTGCATCTTCCTTCCCCCATTCCCAGGTCCTGCCTTCTCTTCTCTCCAACCACGGGGTGAGCCTAAAGTCCTGGGTTCGAGCTTGGCTCCCGTCTCAACCTCTCTCAATCCCTCCTGTGGCAGAGAGGTGTCTGCGAGGGGTGGGCACAGAAACACTGGCTCTCGGACCGCGATACTCTGCTGGAAACTGTGGGGAGTGAGCCTGCCATCGGCGGGAGCATCCCAGAGGAGCTGCACAACCCTATTGGGTGGTGTCTAAGGGGAGGTAGGGGATGAGTAGAGACTGTGTCAGGGGCCCGGCATCACAAGCTGATCTGCATCTGTATTTGTGGGACTTAATGAACCTCTTTGGTGCAGTCATTGAACCTTCTATGCATTTTCCTATTTAATCTTCGCCGCAACCTCAGGAGGAAATGTAGGCACAAAGGACGCCGTTCATTCAGTCATTTGTTCAGCCTGTGGGTCTGACACCGACGCCGAGAGCTCAGCGAGGTCCGGTAATGTGCTCCGCACACGCGGGTTTGCCGCTGAGCACGCCCGCCCCACCGCCAGCCTCCGCCGCACGCGGGTCCGGCAGGTTTCGGCCCCGCGGAGCTCACGGTTTGGAAGTGGGAGACGGACAACGAACAAGTGAATGCGAGAGACTCTAAAGACACAGAAAATCCGACGGGATGGTGTGTGTGGGGAGGGGGGGCGGGAGGTGGGGGGACAGGGGGCGGGCAGGAATGAGCCGAGCATCCGCTAAGGGAGGCGGCGCGGGAGGCCGGGAGACCGGAGGGCCGGCACCTGCGGGCAGCTGGACCGGCTGTGCGGAGCCGCTCCCGGGCGGGCGCGTATTGTGGGTCCGTCGTTATTCTTTTTATCGTCATGAGCACCGGCCGTCCACTCCCCGCTCCCTGTGCCTGCGTCCCCTCGTCTGTATGCACGTGGCGGGGTGCGCGGGGCCGCGCCCTGGGAAGGTCAGCCCTAGGCGGGCACCCCAGACGCGTGCTGCGCTCCCAGCCCGGCTCCGCGGCCCGGAGGGACTGCCGGCGAGGCCGGGCCCGCGAACTACACCTCCCCGAACCCCCTGCGCCGCCGCCATCTTGGCCGGTGGGCGGTGGCAGCCGGGGGTCTGGCCCCTCCGACCGCCGGGGCCGTTCGGCTCAGCCCCCGACCGGGCCTCCACCAGGAGGGGCGCGGGGCCCCCCCGAGCAGGGCATCCGGGGGCCCGGCAGCTCCCGCTGGCCTTGCCCACTCCCCCCCCCCCCCCCCGGGAGCCGGGCCCACGTGTCGGCCGCGCGGAGAAGCCGGCTCGCCCCGCGCTGGCCAAGCGCCGGGGACCCGGACGCCGGGCTCCCCTTCTCCTCGCCGGACATCCGCCCGCACACCGTGCCGCTCCCCTCCCTTCCCGGACGGCCCCCGGTTTCGCTCAGCGAGGGCGGAACTCCAGGGCCCGGTGGGCACACATCCCGGTGCCCGGCGCTAAGGACACGCGCTGGGAGGGCAGTGAACGGGGCGGAGGGCAGCCCGCCCACCCGGCCGAGGGGAGCCCCCCGCAGCCCTGCCGGGGCGGGTCGAGCGCGGGCGGCGGCGGGACTGGCTCTTTAAGGGGGTGTGGCCGGGGGCGGGGAAGCCAGCGAGACAGAGAAAGACTTCGGCGGCGGCGGCTCGGGCGGCGGCCGCGGGGGACAAAGGGCGGGCGGATCGGGGGAGGGGGCGGGGCGCGGCCAAGCCAGGCCCGGGGGCTCCGCAGGCAGCAGCTGCCCCCGGGCGCCCCCGCCGCCGCCCTCGCCGCGGAGTCGTGCGGAGTCGAGCCACCAGCTCAGCCGAGCCGACGGCCCGCACCAGCCGGCGGGCGTCCGGGAGGCGGCGGCGCAGGGAGGGGCCGGACGCGCGCACGTGGCCCCGGCGGCCGCCATGGCGGACAGCGGCCCCGCGGGGGGCGCGGCGTTGGCCGCCCCGGCTCCCGGGCCGGGAGGTGGCGGCCCCGGGCCCCGCGTCTACTTCCAGAGCCCGCCTGGTGCCGCGGGCGAGGGCCCGGGGAGCGCGGACGACGATGGCCCCGTGAGGCGCCAAGGGAAGGTCACGGTCAAGTACGACCGCAAGGAGTTACGGAAGCGCCTCAACCTGGAGGAGTGGATCCTGGAGCAGCTCACTCGCCTCTACGACTGCCAGGTGTGTCCCCGCCCGGCCGGCCCCCTCGGGCCGGTCCCCCGCCGGGCTGCCTGGGAACCCCGCCTGGAGCCCGCCTGTCACCCGCAGGCAATGGGCGCATCGCTTCCGCGCGCGCCGCCCGCCTGCCTCCCGCCCCCAGAGTGAGCTCCTTGTTGTCTGACTTCAGTCCCTCCGGTCTGCCCCGCCGCCCCCTCCGGCCACTACCTGGTCAGGTGTGGGGGGGCCTGGCCTGGGCAGGTTGGGGTTCCCTGCGCTGGCAGTGGAGGGGGGCTGGTGCCTGCTGGCCTAGACTGGTCCCGGGACCCAGCCTGGTGGGCGAGGGGACCGTGAAGCGTCGGGGTTATTCCAATGGGCCCCATCGTGGCGAGGGGGAGGCTAGCGGCTCCCTGGGTCCTGTTCTCCACCCCATGACTCCTTCTTGCTCACAGGGTGACTCAGGCCCCTGGGGGCAGGGTGGAGGAGTGGGCTTGCCCGCGCTGCCCGTCCTAGCCTAGCCCTGGAATGCTGCTGGCTCCAGACCTTAGGTGCTTCCCGGGCAGGAGGGGTGGCAGGCACCGCCCCCCGCCCCCCAGCAAAGCATGTGCTCTTTGTTTCCTCCTTTCCAGGCCTGGGTCCTTCTCACTGACCCCTCACCCTTCACTTCCTCCTGCTCCTGGGAAGTGTGACAGGTGTTTGGGGGAGGGGAAAGGGCTGTGATAAGCTGGGACAGCTGGCCCCACCTGCTCTGGTTAAAATGGGGGGTCCTGAAGTTAGGGAGACACGTCTGCAGTGTTCCCAGCCCTAGCTGTCTGGCACCTAGGGTGCCCAACTGGCAGACAGGAAGTACTACCCCCCCCCCCCCCCCCATCGGGCAGTTTTCCTTGGCAAGGGCCTGATCTGTTTTCTTCCTCAGAGCAGCTGCTGCTGTCTGCTGGGCAGAGAGGGCTGGCTCTTCCCGAGTAGGGCAGGGCCTCAGCCAGCAAGCCCCCCTCTCTTACCCTCTCCCCAACTCAGGCCTTTGTCTCTCCCTCCTCCCCCACCCCAGGAAGAGGAGATCCCCGAGCTGGAGATTGATGTGGATGAACTCCTGGACATGGAGAGTGATGATACCCGGGCTGCCAGGGTCAAGGTGAGAGAAGGGTGGCAGGGTCAGGTTGGGGGAGCTGGAGTGGAGGGCTGCAGGGAGGCAGTGCCAATTGGGTAAGTGAGATTCTGGGGCCAGGCCTTTTGTCTGACGCGCCAGCTCCGTGGCACTGAGCCTCAGCTTCTGCCTCCAGCAGACAGGGCCTATGCTCCTTGCCTAGTAATGGCATCCTGACCTTCGGGGTGGCCCCAGCCCCTTGGGAGTGGGCAGGGTCAACTCCAGGCCCCTGTTCCTGAGAACTCAGCTATACTTTCCCCCTATGTCCCACTAGGAGCTGCTGGTTGACTGTTACAAACCCACTGAGGTAAGTGGTTTCCCCAGACGGTGGGGGAGAAGAGCCTGGGCTTCTGTCTTCTTGGGATCTTGTCTTCCTAACGTCCTCCCTCTTGTCCAGGCCTTCATCTCTGGCCTGCTGGACAAGATCCGGGGCATGCAGAAGCTGAGCACACCCCAGAAGAAGTAAGGGTCCTCAACCCAGGTGAACGGTGGCTCCCACAGGACAATCGCTGCCCCCTGACCTCGTAGCAACAGCAATACCAAGGGGCCCTGCGGCCAGGCCTGGTGCCATGAGCAGGGCTCCCTGTGCCCCTCACTTAGGGGCCTCTTCCCTGCCCCTTGTTTTCCATTTTGGGGTTTTTTTATTATTATTAAACTGATGGGACTTTTTGTGTTTTTATATTGATTCTGCGACGCGGGCCCTTTAATAAAGCTAGGATATGCCTTTGGTGCAGCTAACAGGCTTGGTTGGTCTCTTTTAGGGGGACACACTGCTCTGTAATGGTTACCAGCTCAGCTTCTCCCCAAGTGACTGTAGGCCTTCCTGAAGGCCATGTAGTCATGGTGATAGCCCAGTGTTGGCTCCCAGACCTGGAGCTAAAAGTGGCTGGGGAGTAGGGGGGGCACTGTTGCTGTTGGCAGCAAGAATTCTTTTTTCACTCTGGGCAAGGGCCACCATGCTATCCAAGGCCTGGCTATCTTGACCCCCCAGGCTATTGAGCCTAGATCCCAAGGTTCTGAAGCCACAAAAGGAGACGGGTACAGGATGCCGAGGAAGAGGAGAGGCTGGGACTGTGGTTTCTAAGTCTCTCGGGGCCCACAAACAAAACACAGGCTCATTTCATGAGCTTTAAGATTTTTTTTCCTTAAACAGTCTGGTCCCTGATGGGGGCCTCTCCACCGGCCCTCCCCAGCTTGGCTACAGTTCTGCACGTCGTTCGATTTTGAGCAGCTCCACCTCGAACACTAGGGTTGCACCACCTGCAGCAGGGAAGTGAGGCAGAATGAGAACCAGGGCCACAGGAGAGGGGATAGGTGCAACAGACAGGAGGCAAGAAGGCATATTACCTGGGATCTTTGGGGGAGCTCCCCGCTCTCCATACCCTGTCAAAGATGCACACACAAAAAACACAAAGTGAGCTGTGGTCAGATAGAGAGGTTCTGCAGACATCCAGGCTGAAACCAGGCTTCTGCCCAGCTCAGTAACAGCCAGCAATGGAGGTGTAATGGGTGAGAGGGGGCTGCAAAGGCCAGATAAAGGGCACAAGGTGGACATCAGAGCTGAGTGCCTCAAGGGTCTTGCCCTGGAATTGCTGGACACAGTTAAACTTGGAAGAGGCATGAACTGTAATGAATGGGTGGGGGAGACCAATCAGAGGCTGAGCCAAGCCTTCACCCTTCCCCAAACGTACCCGAACCCTACACCCACTCAGGAAGGACCTCTTACCCAGCTCTGATGGGATCACCAGCTTCCGCTTTTCCCCCTCACACATCCTGCAGGACACATAGTCAGCATGTGGCAGCACTCAGGCTCCCTGCCTCCCACCGCCCTCCCCTCCCCCCCTTTCCTGGGGCTTGCCTCCCACAGTTCACCTGGACCACAGCCATGGCCCCTGACTCACCCCAGCAGCCCCTGGTCCCAGCCCTTGATGACCTGGCCCGTGCCCAGGGAGAAGACAAAGGGCTGGTTCTGGGGCAGGCTGCTGTCAAACTCCGTCCCATCTTCCAGCTTCCCCTGTGGGACCATGAGAAGGCCAATGAGCTGGTTCCACTCTGCTAGCACCCCACCCCCATCTACCCCCATCAAGCTGTCCCCCACAGAATTGGTGGCCCTAGTCCTAGAAGGGGACAGAGCCTTAGGCAGCTCACAGTACACTGTAACTCTTTGTTAGTGCCAACCTGGGAAGTAGACAGTGAAGAGCAGGATAGAACCGTGGAAACTGGCAGAGGGGAGAAGGGACTTGCCCAAGGTCACCCACCTTAGCAGGGGAATCTGGCTCCCAAGTCCTTTTTGGTCCCCGAATCCCCACCCACACCCAAAAGCTCCGCCTCCTCACCCACCGTGTAGTGCATGTGCAGGACATCCCCCTTGCGCGATTTGATGGGACAGTGGTCTACCCGCTTCTTGACCCCGATCTGCAGTTTCCGTTTGCCCTCGGCCCCCGCAGCCGTGGCCAGGGCACTCAGGCAGATGGACAGTACTGTCAGGACCCAGCTGAGTCTCATGTCTCTGCGGGAACAGATCCCGACCGACCAATCGACCGGGAGGGCAGGAAGGGTATGGAATACCTGCAGGTAGTAGGATTCCACACCACCGTACCTTGCCTGCCCCTGGGGATCCCCTCGTCCCGGGTCACCACCCTCTCCCCCGGGCTCCGCGGTCACACTTACCAGTCCAGGGAGAAGGGGGCTTGCCCGAGGACCCCAGCAGCGGGGGGAGGGGGTAAGGGGAGGCCACAGCAGCCAGGGCCCCGCCCCTTTGTTCACCCTCAGCCCTTCCTTCCTTCCTGGACCCCAACTCCGTTCTTCAATTCCCACCGGTCCCTTTACGCAAAGTCCAGACCCTATCTGGCTGCACAGTAGTTGCCCTGACCGGGCGACACCACTCACGCCAAACCCAGTCGCCCCCTGCCCAGCACACCCACACCTCTGCCGCCGCTGCAGGGGATCGGCCTCGAGGCACCCACACATCGCCGCTGGGTGGCTCCGGGGAGCCCCGGTCCTCTGGGGAGATCCCCCAGGCCGACCCTGTGCCTCCGCCCGGGGCGCCTCCCCAACTCTGAGCCCTCGGGGGTCTGCGGGGCACCCAGACTGGCCCCGTGTCCGGTGACCGTCGAGCCCGCTCAACCCACACCACCTCTCCTGGGGGAGTTCTCGGCCTCCCACGCTCCCAGGCCCGGCCACCACGGAGACCGCCCCCGCGTGGACGCCCCGGGCCATTACCTGGGCCTACCCCTGCGCTTGGCTCCTTGGCCCCACCCTTTAGAGGGCGTGGTTCCGCCCCCAGCCCTGGAGCCCCACCCTCGACAGAACTAGGTCCCTTTTCCTGAACTGTACCCACGCCACTCACCGGCTGAAGCCCCGCCCCCAGCGCCTGGGCCTCGTCCCCCTTCGTCTCCAAACCCGAAGCTCCGCCTTCCGCCTGTTCCAGCTCCTCCTCCAAGGTCCAGGCCCCGCCCCCCACAAGTCCTAGCCCCGCCCCCAGCCTCAGAGTCCCGCCTTCCGCAGATACCAGCTCAGAGGCCCCACCCGTTTCTGTTCCACGTCCCGCCCCGACTCCCGGGGCCCCGCCCCGTGCGGCGTGAGGGCCCTCCCCCTGCGGCATCCCCGGACAGCTCCCGCACCAGCCTCCAGGTTCCTCGTACCCTGCCCTCCTTGACACTCGGGACCCCGACCTGACCCAGCCTGCCCGCGTACACCCCGGCTCCCTCAGCCCGGGCTGTGGCCCCCGCTCACCTCCTCGCCGCGCCCCCGGAGTCAACTCGTCGTGCCGCCGCCTCTGCGCAGGCGCGTCATTGCAGCTACCAGCCCGGGCCACGCCGCCCGCCCTCATTGGGCCGCACGAATCCCGCCGCCACCCGCCCGCGGGGGAGGGTATCGCCCTAGCCCCGCCCTTTAGCACCACGTGACTTTCGTCACTTCCTGTAGAGCGGTAGTCCGTAAGGTTAGGTGAAAGTGACTTCCGAAAGGACTACAGGCACTTCCGGTGGAGGTGAGATTAAGGTCAGGGGGCGCGGTTCCTAGAGGGGGTCTTGAGACGCCATTTTGCGTCGCCCCCAGCCTTGCCCGCGACGTCTCTGGGGGGTCTTCGGGACCCACCGCTCCCAGTTAGTTGCTGTGGAAAGACTCGGCCTCAGAGTGAGACGGGTTTGAACTCAGGGCCCGCCGGTCACTGACCGACTCTGACCTTGAGCAAAGTTCCTGGCCTGGCGGGTTTGGCGTCCCTGTGCCGCGGCCTGGATCACCCACCCTGCAGGGCCCACCGCCAGGCGCCGCCACAGCCGGTGCGCTCCCTTCTCGCCCCCGGCGTCCAGGCTTGCCTCTGCATGTCGCCCACTGACCACCGGCTCAGCCTGCAGTGATGTGGCTGTTATTTTCAGGCGCCCAGTACCCAGCAAACATCTCCATTAAGTAGCGACTCTGCTGCGAGCAGGCAGCTAAACCTACCGAGTTAGGGAGACAGCTGATTTGAGGCCAGATCCCAGGTCAATCAGCCTATTTCATCAAATGAAAAGGAAGATAGTCACAGAGCTGACCGCAGAATTGAGGACTCAGCAAGGAGGTGGTGCCAAGCATCGTGCGTGTCCAGCGAGGCCACGTGGACGCAGATGGTAGCCCTGGGTCTCTAACCCTCATCTCTCATCCCAATGGGGCTGTGGCATTTTCACCGAGGGCATGGCTATCATGACGTGAAGATACTAATCACTCAGGAACTGTCTCTTCTGGGCTAACCCACTTTTGCCTTGGGCCCAACCAGATCGCTGTCACCCCCTCAAGTCTGACAGGAGGGTGGGTGCTTCGCATTGGCCTCTCCCTGAAGGTCCTGCCTCAGCAGGGCAAAGCCCTTTGTACCGAGTTGGCCTTTGGACCACCCCACTCAGCGCCAGGCAGCAGGGGAGTCTGCAGGCAGCAGGCTGGGCAGTGAGCTTGGACTGGGGCTGATAAAGGTCAGGAGAGTCCCAAGCAGGGGCACCCAAGGTGAAAGGGAGGTGAAGGTGGAGAAAACTGGGGGATTGGGGTTGGGGGCCCATCTCTCGAACCAAGCCCACCAGCCACGGACCTTTGGTGCTTCCCGTTCAGGGAGGTGGGAGTGAGGTGGGGACAAGGCAGGTGCACAGCGTTAGAGTTAAGTTACAGGGGGGCAAAAAGCAGGAGACACAGTGCTGCCCAGCGGGGGAGATGGGTGTTCTTTTCTGTTACGTCAAAACATACGCAAACCTGCCGAAACCGGTTTGGCTCAGTGGATAGAGCGTCGGCCTGTGGACTGAAAGGTCCCAGGTTCGATTCTGGTCAAGGGCATGTACCTGGGTTGCGGGCACATCCCCAGTAGGAGATGTGCAGGAGGCAGCTGATCAATGTTTCTCTCTCATCGATGTTTCTAACTATCTCTCTCCCTTCCTCCCTGTAAAAAAAAAATCAATAAAATATATTTAAAAAAAAAAAAAAAAACATACGCAAACCTTCCTGTAGCCCTTGGGCCCGGAACACAGTGATCATGTGTCCTCCATGTGCACAAGTGGGAAGCTGAGGCTCAGACAGAGGGGCGGTGACACCCAAGGTCATTCAGCAGATCTGCTTCCCGCCTCAAACTCACTGGCCATAACAGGCCATCTCCCTCCAGAGCAGGGAGCAGGGACTGGCAATAACATGAGTGTGAAGAACTCGTGACTGGGCTCTGAGTGTGACGGTGTGGGGCCGTGGGCCTCATTTACTCCATCTGCACAGTGAATGGAGTAAGAAGCTCCAGGCCTGGGAGGCAGTGTAACAGGCATCCATGCTTGAACCAGCCAGCCTGGACCGTGACAAACAGTGACACAGGCAGGGAAGCTCCGTCCATCTCTTTTATCAGGGTCGGGGGGTCACAGTTCTCATACCAAAGCCCAACTCCCATTATTTGCAGAGCATCAGGGTCTTCTTCGTAAGGGCAGGGAGGGGCCTGCTGTAAGACGCGCACTTACATGGGGCAGTTAAACACTGAAACAGGACCCCATTCTCTCCCAAGCTGGTACGCGACCCCTCTTGCTGCCTCCAAGTCTCATCCAACTCTGCCCACCATGCTGGAAGGCAGCCTTGCAGAGACAAGAGATGGCCAGAGGGGCCCAGGCCCGTTAGGCCCCCTCTGGAGTGTGGCCTGTGAGGCAAGTGGCCCCACTGAGTCTGAAAAGCAATGTGTCACTTTCGCAGCTTCCGGCACCTGAGGAGGAAAGAAGGGGATTCTGTTCATGCTGCCACGGCTCTGCATCTGCTCCTCTGGACCCATCCCGTCACCGTCTGCGAACCTCCTTCTTTCCTAACATTCCAAAGACACCCCAACTGGCCTCGCCCACGTGATGCCACTCGTGGCCTCACTCTGCAAGGGATGGGTCGTGAGAAGCCCTCGACGAGAGTGAACAAGGGTCACACTATGTGCCCTGGCCTCTCAGAGCCCAGGAAGTGGGACAGATGTCTACCAGAGTGGCTTCTGGGAAGGCCCAGAGCGCTGCAAACTGGAAAGCTGTCTCAGGTCTACCTCAGGCAGATGGCACCTCCTCCAGGACATCTCTGACCTCTCAAAAGACGATGCCAGGTGCGCCTGACCACAGGCCTTGCTGGCCTCTGCTGGCATCAGTGTCCTTGTGCCGGGCTTCTGCCCTGGAATGTGAGCCTTGTTTACGCTGATCCCAGTGCCAGCAGACACTTGGTAAATATTTGTTCAACCCATTCAACAGCTTCCCCTTCCCTGGCTCTTACCCCACTGGCAGGCCTTGACGGCTTCCCTAACAACTGCCACCCCACAACTCCTCACCTGCAGGTGTCTGGGTTGAGCTCTAAGCCCCGCCCTTGGCAACGGAAGAAGCTGCGGCGTCGGCAGCGGCAGCGGCAGGTCCTGGGGTCAGGGCGCTGGTGGCGCTGGGTACAGCGTGGGCAGAGGGGCCTGGGGCTGGAGTGGGATGGGTGATGTCAGCTTGGGAGTGTGCTCCGGGGGCAGGGCCCCAGCCCGGAACAGAGCGGGGCTGGGGATGGTGGTGGGGAGTGTCAGCCCTAGGAGGAGAAGCAACATGTCTGGGGCGGGAAGAGTCTTCCCTGGAGGGAGCTGGGGTTGGGTCAGAGCACACACACTGGGGAGCAGAGGAAAAGGGGAGCAGGGGACACAAGTGGGAGGAAAAAGAGGGGAGTGGGCCACAGCTTCCTGACACACTTGCACAGCCCTTGCCCCACCCACACGTTGTATCCTGGGCACTGGGCCTGGGTTCCAACCCCACCTCAACAGGAGCCCAAGAGACTCACCTGTCTGGCTTCACAGCACTCTCCCTTTTTTTTGGTCTGAAAGAGAGACCGACAGAAACAAGGAGGAGGAGGATCAGGAAAGCCAAGCATCCTACTCTCTTGCCCAGACCCCAGGCATGCCCAGCTCCACTCAGAAACCTGGTCCCCAGGGCGGGGTACCACCACGCCCACGTCCCCCACGCCTGGTCTCTGCAAGCCCAGAAGTGGGCCTGGCCGGCACCTGCATTCACACTGGCTGTGTTCTTCCAGGGACATTTCCCCCAGCTGACTGCTTGGATACCGGATCATGAGGATCTGTGTTCGGGAGAACAGGGAGAGAGAGAGGAAGAGAAGAAGACACTCCATGGGCAGGAGGGAGGATGGCTTGCCCACCTGCCAGGGCTCTGGCTGCCATCCCATCAGCCCCGAGCACCAGCATCCACCCCCAGCCAGGCACACTCTACCTGCCCCAGTACCTGCATTCGGACTTGGTGCTGCCCAGTGGGCACGCATTCCAGGCCATCGTCAGGGCAGCAGCCGCCACAGCGCTGCACAGTCACACAGCTGGGTACCAGTTGTTTGGCCACAGTGCCCATGAGCTCCAAAGTTAGGGGCACCACCACCTCCCGCGGCTGGCAGGTGGCACGAGCATACACATCTATCCATGACACCACTGGGGACAGATGCATCAGGGTTACGTCCCCACTGGGCTTCCTGCAGCTGCTCCCTAGTTCCCGTGTCACAGCCTCCCTCCACTGCCCCCACTTCTGCCCTCCCAACCTGTTCACCCAGAACCCAGGACCCCCACTTCCTCAATTTCCACTTCTGTGAAATGGGCAGAAGAGTTTGCACCTTACAGAACAGCGATTAACCAAGACGATGAGCACACAGCGCACCTTCTCAGTGCTGGCCAGTGCGAAGCTGCTACTATTACCTTTCTTCTGGTGGCCAGGGGCATCAGGCTGGGAGCCGGGCGCCTGCGGGAGAGAGGAGACCTGGACCCGAGGGGCACTCTAGTTAGGGCCGCACTGTCCCCAGGGCTCTGCCCTTGCAGTCGGCAGGCTTCAACTCCTCGCTGACATTTCTCCAGATGGCTCTGTTCCCGAGTCCACTCTAGCTCTACCTGTCCCTCCTGGCCACCTGGGGCCTGCCCTGGCCATGCCCCGCCAGGCGTGCTCTGCCAGCCGAGGCCTCTCTCCACGCCTGGGGACCAGGCTTGTTCTGGAGGCCGCAGGTCAGAAGGGGGCACACTGGGCGCCGAACCAGGTCGCACAGACACCGAGGCAGCTCCGCCCGCCGGCTGCGCCCAGGGAATGGGGTGGGGCAGGGGAGTGGCCCCAGGGATGGGCCGGGAGGCCAGTGGGGAGGAACACCTCCCAGGGGATGCCGGCCCGACTCTGGCGACGTCTGATCCTCTGATCCGCGCGTACCCTCGGCCGAGGCCGCTTCTCGCCTCCCCACTTCCGCCAACCTTGAGAAGGGCACGGCGGGCGGGCGGGATGTCGGGACGCACGTACCTGGGCGGGGGCCAGCTGCAGGAGCGCCGCGAGCAGCAGGCGGCGGAGCAGGGGGCCCATGGTGCCCACAGGGGCCACGGGCCTGGGGCTCCCGCATCGCCCTAGCCCGGCGGCGCCGGGGG